TCCCACACCTCTGCAGCATCAACCTGCAGCATCAAACCTGCCGTGGTAGGTCTGCCCGGAGTGCAGTCAGTCATGGCAAAACCCAACAAGGCAGAGTTCACTAGCGACTGTGTTGAGGCCGTAAAGCTCTTTTCCAAACATGGCTGAAGACAGAACTTGTGAACATGTCTTTAAAGCTGATCAGAAGGGTTTTGCTCTGCTATGTCACTAGGCAAACCTTTCAGCTACACCACACCATCGTTTTACCCTTTAGAGTTACCTGGCACTGATATGTACTTCTGCTGAAGGAAGGACTCTAAATTCACCTTCCCCCTAAATAATTGCCTTGGCCTTTGAAGAAACAGCACAAAAATATAAAGTCTCCCAACCTTCAGTTAAGAACCTTCAAAGCAGCAGGTGTGTACTTGTATACTGGTAAGCCACAACATGCACCCAGCTGCAAACACAGAGCCTGTCCATTACCACCTACTCCGTGGGATGGGATGGAATGAATTCAGGAAGATATTTCAGTTATTGAAATGTGCCCATGTTTCAGTGATGCAACAACATCAGCATCAACCACACACATGAAATACGAGGCTACCGCACATGGTATCTACTAACTGTTTTTGTTTTCTTAACGATTACAGTTTGCTTAAAATCATAACCTACTGATGTGTTATACACGGGGTACCATGGGACCCACAGATCAACGCTGCCCCACGCAGGGGTATTCACAATCACAGCATAATAATAAAAAGTCCACAACTGGAAGCATCAGAAATGCAAAAGTCACAGTGACAGCCCAGCAACAACAGCAGCCTCCTGATATTTTACAGATTTATCACTTTCATGGGTATTATTGTTACCAATTTACGATCATCACTAGCACATCATTAACGGCTCCCTATCACTGTCACCTGTGCACAAATGGGTGCATCTCATACTGTAAATTCAGCCACTGTGACACCAAAGCTTGCTCATCCTAACTGGTAAGCAGATATATGTCAGGCAGAGGTAGAGAGTGTCACAGCTGATGCTGAAATACATTTTGCATATGATCTCCTTAGACAGGGTGCTGTCATTTTGCTGCAGTTCATCCTGCCACTTCATCATCGCCCTGCAAGCTGCCCAACAAGGTTTTTTACTTCTGCCATCACCACTGATTCTTAATAGATATTCTGTATTTTGGATGATGCTGCTTCAGGCCATAAGAACTACATTTAGCACATGAGGCCGGATCCTAGCATAAGGCAAGGCTTGCCATGGGGCTGGGACCTACCAGTCTTCCTCAGATATTCTAGTGGAGACCCTGATAGCAGCAGTACCAGGTTTATACGGACCAAACACCCTTGACTTAACCATCAGAGAAACAGGTAATGCTAATGACAAGGAAACGCTGTGTTCTCTATCTCCATGGGAACAAAACCTGGTACTTTTAACTGGTAGCATGGCCAGTCTTTTCGCAGAAGATAAGGACCACTGTGTGGGCAGAGTTTTTATTCTCTGTAAATAAACAGATCTTTCTGCTGATACCTAGTCTTGGCAACTGGGAAGGGAATTTGCTGGAAGGTGAGGAAGGAGATAATTCCTGGCAAAAGTTTCACTCCAGCCCTAGAGTACTAAAACCAGGTCTCCTAACAGCCTGTTTTTTGGGGGTTGGTTTTTTCCCCCCCACCTAGGGTACATGTAATAACACTTTCTTTTGTGCTTACAAAACAAATGCTGCCTTCCATGCTCTGGAAGAACTTAGGAAGTTTTTAATTATAAGAAAAGAAAAATGAGGACAAGTGAAGTTGGACTGTGCAGAGTGCTCTGCTGGCCTGATCTAGGACAATGTGCCCTACATAGAGCTCAAATATAACATCCTTTGGGAGGCTGTCTTGCTTCCATTCAGCTTTTGTGAGACCACCCCCGCCCCCTGTGCTACTAATGACAGATTTCTGAGGCATAACCAGTATCGTGGCCTTCCTATGAACATTAATGCTGTAAACAAAACCATTAGTGGCAGACGTAGAGAGGGAGCAAAAACTATGCGCAGATGCGGAATTTATTCTACTGATATTCTTGCAGTTTCTGCTTTCTTTCTGCGATCAGCACTGAAATAGCTCATCCCCAGCCACAGTCAGCAACTCTACCCCAGGTGGGTGACGCTTTCCCTTGATAGATGCGAGGTCTGTCTTTTTTCTTCTATTTGTCTAGTTTTCCTGCCAAGGAAGTGCCATTGGATTGAGCTGAAATAGTTGCTCTTCCTTGATGGAAACCTTGTTCTTGGCAAATAGAAGGATATTAAGGAAAATAGAAAAATCTTTAGATGTGTCATTAGACACTCCAATGAAAGTGTGGCCAAATTGTCACTTCTCTCTCTCCTGTATCATACTGGCCAGGAAATTCCTGCAATCTTGTATTTGCAAATCCTGCAACAGAAAAACATCGCAACTTTTTTTTTTTTTTCCTTCAAAGAGCCTTATTAATTCTTCTGCTGTACATTCCTGGTTCTTTTTGCAGGAAAGCATTTTTCCCTTCTGTGTATCTCTTAGCAGAGAGAACAATTTGTGTCCAACTCTACCCCACTCTCCACATGACTAAACTGCAGAGAGGATGTTTTAGTGAATCAAAAGGATACTACGGACGTGAGCCAACAACAATCCAACAGGCTTTACAAAGGGAAGGGTTCCTCCAGTCCCTCCCGACAGTCCTCATACAGACACAGGCTCAGAGAGTGAAAGCAGCGGCTGACACCAGGCTGAACCAAGAAATTCTTTGTGCATCGCATCCCGGTGGTGCGAGCCCCTTGTGCCCAGCACCGCACCGCTCGCTCCAAGGGAAGCAAATGCTGCAACAGCCCCTAATGCAACCACAGGGCTGTGTCAGGTTTTTTGTTTTCCTCTGGTTCCCTCCTAGTCTTATTTGTTGCTGTTAATCTTGGCATTACCTGGCAAGCCAGTTTTTTTCTTTTCCCAACTACATCATACAACAAGAAAGCACCGCTAATGTGTTGTGCTTTAGCAGGGTGCAAATATACCCTAGGGTCAACTCTGCGGTGTGAATTCAGTCTTTAATACTTGTTTTTAAAGCCAATGATTTTGCTGGTTCTTGAAACTAGAACTCTTTTACCTCTCTGTTGTTATTAGGCATGCCCCTTATTGTGGATCTGGACTCCACTTGCTTGCACCAAGCTGCTGTTTTCTGCTAGGTCTTTCTTAAATTACAAGGACAGATGGCTAAACTGGGGCTGAAGAAGAAGTTGTTCACACTAAACAGAGACTTCTGTGCTTCCCGTGGGTGGAAAGGGGTGTCTTTGTTGTATATCACGGCTACAGGAAATATGGGAATGAAACCTCAACATGATGAGTCGGGCAGAGGTTAGAGAAACAAGAGGAAATTAATTGTTGGGGGTTTTATACCACTTTGGAAGTAATGAAAGAGAAAATGCAAGACGTGCTGAATAACTGCAGTGCTACCTCACTCCTAGATCTTAGCACAAACCAAAATGATTCAGAAATCCTTTGCCCGTGTGTTTGGGGTTTTCTTCCATGGATCCTAAAAGCAAGCTGCATGTTTGGAGCAAGATGTCCCGTATTTCAGACGCCAAAAAACCCAGCCAGGCATAAAGAAACCAAAGTAAGAGAAAGCACGGCAAATGCTGCTACTTACAGGTGTATGTCATTTCAAAGCTGTCACTAATGTTCACAATGTCGATCTGGGGAAGGAGCTTAGGGGGTTCTGTGAGCTGAGATAATGCAAACCTAAAAGCCGCATGTTCCTGGGACTGTTGATTAGGAAATAATCCCCCTGGGGAGAAAAACAGAACAAGAAGAAAAAAGGTCTTAAGCACACCCATATTAGCAACCTCTTCAATCCAAACTATTCCTGCGAGCAGAGGCTACAGCTCCCCAGCCGAGGGAGTGCCTCTACACTCAGAAACCCTCCAGCACGCAAGACCCCGGGGTGTTTGTGCCCGCTGCGGACAGGCTGGGAGCAGAAAACCTTTCCAGCCCGTGCATTATGCAATGCCTGGATCATTTATAGGAGCCCTGATCCATCCCTGGGCCCAGCAGGCTGCGGTGTCGGGATGAAGCATGGGGTTTGGCTCAACCTCCTAACTTTAAGGAAGAGAAATGGAAGCGCTGTCAATGTTACCTTTACAAAGGAGGAATGAGTCTTTCTTCCTCTCACTTGTAATTAGGCTCAGTTTAAACCCTGCTGACTAAGAGGAGGTGTTTGCTCCAGAAGGGGTGCAGGGGTTCCCCCACACCATGGGACTCAGGGGTACGGGGCAGACTGGCTGAGCCTGGCCTGACAGGTGCAGTGCTGGGTGGATGGGGACGGGGCTGCGAGAGCCAGAGCGACGTGGGACCCATGGCCAAACAACTGCTGCTACTGGAAGTTTGCTGCATGGAAAAACCCTAAATTTAACAGGTGACAGTGGCCAAACCCAAAGAAGGCAGGAAATCAAAAGCTTGACCCTCAAAGGGATCGATCTGAGCAGAAGTACAGATAAGCCCAGAACCACATCATGATACAAATAAGGATAGGAACTGGGACCAGACTGGACCAAGGCTCAGAGCCTTTCTCCCCTAATGGACCTGGAACAAAATGCTGCGATAACCCAGCCCTAGGAAAAGTTTCCTGCCGCTTCCCCAGCAGGAAACTGGGCTTGCAGCAGATCCCTTCACAGCCTCCAGAAAAATGCCATTAAATACAGACTGTCTTGTAATCTATATGCATTTAAAGGAAGCGCTGTTATTGGCATGAGTATGGAAACAAAGCACTTAGCAACAAGGTAGAATTAAAATTAAAAAGCAGAAAATATTAATGCCCACCCTCCAGAGCAGGTGGCTTGGGCAAGAAACAAATGTGCAAAGACCTGCTATTAACGGGACTTTGCACATCTTTAGTATAGAGGGCATCCCGTTGTCTGGAAAGGGCTATTTGTGCACGAATATTCCCCCACCTCCCCCGTTCCTCCCACCCCCAGGCTAATCATGGGTGTCAGAGGAATAAGATGGTAGTAACCGAGTTAAAGCTATTATATGTCATTGTTGACAGGGAAAATATCTGGGCTGTTGCATAAATTTGGGGTTAACGGGAGGCAGGGAGGGAGGGAGACAGGGATGCAGCATCAACAGCAATAAAAGCACAGATTGTGCAGCTGGAGTCGGGCAGGAGTTACCTAAACTTGGTGGATTAGCAATTGATTGGCATTGTAAAGAGGAGGGAGGCAGGAGATAAAATCGGCATGCAAGGAAAGAGAATTTGAGGGTAGGTTACAAACAATCGTCAATAAAGATCAATGGGTGAGTAATAATAAACCTGGGGAGGGAGGGAGAGGAGCACTGAGAAGTTACAGGAAGGGAGAAGGGAATCAAACAGGCACTGCTGGTGCGGAGGGGAAGCGAGTAGCATGAAATGAAAAGAGACTTCAATGGAAAATCTTCCTCCAATAGCTCTGCCCTTATTCTTTAGCAACAACAACAGAGAGCGCCTGTTTGTTACCTCTCGTCCCAGTTACCTACAGATGAGAGCATCCTCACAAAAACGTATAATGCAACTGCTGCTTTTGCAAATGCAGCAACGCACAATGGCAGCCCAGGCATTTCTCAGAGCAAGAAACAGATATTTTTTTTTCGTGCTTCCTCCATTTCAGAGCCACTTTTCTCTCTCTCTGTTGCTGTGTGTGCAAGCATTTCTTCCCAATCTTCCCCTCCCCCAAAGCCAAATTGATACATCTCTGCTCTTGCAAAGCTGGTACCAACGCACAAATCCAGCCCCTCGCTCTCTCTCTCACACACACACACAGATTTTGCCTTTGCAAGCAAACGAACGGGTCAGTTTTCCCTCACCGCCCCCTCCCTCCACCCCTACCCCTTCGCCGGGGCTCATCACTCCCGCACGGCCCCGAGCTCTGCACTCACCTATCTGGATATTGTTGGGGAAATTGGCCCCTAACACCGCCCCTAGGAAACTGGTGCAGAAGAAGGCAAAAATGTGCTGCATATTCCCTTTTGCATTGGCGAAAAAGAAGCCCAGTTCCAAGCATAGATTTGATTTTTCCCCCGCTCTGCTCTCTTTAGCCGCCTCTCTCGCCTCCCCTCCGCTGCGCCTTCGGGGTTGCGCCTCTCCCTCGCTCGGAATCCAGCGCTGAGACTGCTGCTTAACACCGCCTGGCAGCAGGATTAACTGAGCCCCGGGAGAAAGAAAGAGAGCCCGCTCCTCATCCACATCCCTCCCCCGCCACACACAACACACACACGCACACGCCACCCGCTTCCACCCAGCTCATTCCCTTTCTCCCAGTTGGAGCTCAACAGCTGGGTACCGCATCCCGCACTCCCCCTCCCCACCCTGGCTATTCCCCTCGGGGGTCCTAGATGGGGTCTCTAAGGGCAATTCCTACCTACCCCTAAATTCCCGGCTTTCCCTCTCAACTTCTCTTGGCAGGAGCTAGAAGGAACCTGTGAATCAGTAGGTGGCAAACTCCTCTAGAGAAAGGGCTTAAACTCTGCCTCTCATCCATCGCTTCCCAACCTAGGCTCTCACCCCTGGTCCAGGCGTTGAACAGATCAGTCTCTACAGCCTGGCTCATTAGGATAACAAAGAGGATCGTATCCTGCAAACGTGCCTTGGAAGAAAGGATTTCGGAGCAACAGACAAGAGGTCCCAAAGGATGAAAATAGGAAACCCCCCCATCACCTTTCCCATTGATTTTTCCTTCCCACCGTTAACCTATGAGGCTTTTCACCCCTGCTCTTGATGTGGAGGAATCTGTGCTCACCAGCAGCATCAGACAGGACAGGCTTCTGAAATTAGGAGGTTAATTTAGCCTGGATCATTATAGGAGCTGTTTTGTGGCAGTTCTAACGAGGTTGGAGCTCACTAGATCATACGCAGCTTTGCTCAAAAACAAAAGGGGGGGGAAATCATTAAAAGTAACAATGATAAAAAACAGATCCTGGGCACAACCTGGGATTTAGAAATATTTGAGGAAGAACTGCTGTAAACACAGAGCTACAGCCACCTCAGAAAGGAAAGAAAATTCAGCCATTCCCCTCTGAAACTTATAAAGTCCCAAACCAAACTTGGGCCCTCTTGTGCCAGAACCTGGATACCCACGTCCAAGCACAGCAATTCTGCCCTTACCATTTGTAGCCTTAGTACACACAAAGGGTAAATAGCAGAGAGGAATCAGAAAGAAAAAAGGATGTTTAGGACAGAGTTAGAAATAGGACTTAGATGCCTTGTGTTGTGGTTTGGTGTGGGGTCCCCACTCTCCATCCACTCTCCATCTCCAAAAGCATGTGGTTAAATTGGAAGAGCATCAAAGAGTGGTGACCAATGTTCAAAGGTCGGGAACTACCCCCATGTAAGGAACAGTAGGACAGATGGGAACTCTGCAGAGTGGGATAACCGAAATGGGATGTGACCAAAGCCTACAAAATCTGCAGTAGCACAGAGACATTCCTTGTTGGCCACAGGGCCCAGGTATGACATAAAGAGTAGTGTCCCTGCACCATAAAGTTACGTCCTCAAGCATTTTATGAACAGAATAGTCTTGAAAACAGAGGTAGTAGCATCTTTTTGTTGGCAGGTCTTCGATTTCCTCTGAAAGAGATTTAGTACCGGTTTCTTTCCCCATACAGCCCTTCCTGCCAGCTGCAACAGAGTCCTTAGGTAGAGCAGCATCATTCGTGGGCATGCGCTATCTCCACAGCTAAACATGACAATGGTTGGAAAATCATCTCTCATGTGCCTATGGGCACAGGCCCTGGGTAAAGGAGAATGGACCATGATCCTTATGCAGGCCTTCATTTCATCTCCGCGAGTAAGAGTTTGGGATCTCTAACCTCTTCCTAGACAGTTTTGTGGATTTCACTGTGACTTCTGGGATGACAAAATGCTTAAACACCCACATAAATGCCAGAGTAGGTATAGGGTCTCAGCACTGTACTCTAATACCTTGCATCAGAGAGGAGTTGCACTGTTGCCTGCAACTTTGTGGCCTTTTACAAGGACGGTATGTGGAACTACACTGCAAAAAACAGAGCCTAGAAGACTTGCATCTTTCTTATGGCAAGCAATAGAACATCCTTCTAGGATAGATTTCTTTTTCACCAAACCACCCTTGACCAGGGCAATGACTCTCAGTGCCAGAGACCACAGGTTCATTAGAGCAATTGTTTGGGCACTCAGGAGTCAGTTACAGGTGGCCAAAGGATGCTCCTACCCTGACTCACTGCCTGGGGGACCGACATCCCAGGGTCGTAATTCAAGCACAACAAATTTACACCTGCTGTCGATAGGTAGCACCTTCATCAGACTTCCATTTCGCTCCTTGTATAATTTCAGCAATACTGATTTGAGGCTAAAATAACCTGCTGATCAGTTTTGTAGGCTCTTGCTTTCCATCCAGAATTTAACAGAAACAGCTGCATTTATAATCCAAAGAAAGGCACTGAAGGATAACCAGCCCAACAGAAAGTTGCTAGCATGTTTTCAAAACTCCCAAACAGCCTATCTGATAATACTAATAGTGGCCATAACAATAAAATACTGTAATAGCGCACAAAAAGCTTGCACAGTCACATTACTTACTAATGCTGCTTTTGTCTATAAACCTTTCAAAGTGCAGGTGGCTGAACAAGGAGAACCTCACCACAGTGTACTAAGATAAGTAGTAATAAGATCATTATTTTAAGAAGGTATTCATTTCCTTTTTCCCTGTAGATAACAGCATTTTATTCAGAGTTTGTTAGCACAAGGATGTTGGGAATTAACTCTAGTTGCTCTGAAGGTTCTTTAAATCAACATCAAAGCAATATAGCTTCTGAACTTTTGGCTAAACAGCAAACTAAGTCTTGGGAAATTGATGAGACTCTTCAGTGTCACAAGAGCGGTCACAACAGAAAGACAGATCAATCCCCCAGTCTTCTGAGAGAAGAGCCCGACTGAATTATCTAGATTCCTAAAAACAATTGAAGGAGCTTTTATTCCTCCTTTCAGATTTCAGAAAAAAAAAAAATATCATTCAGTACAGTGTATTGCATACTACCGTCTTAATCAGGGGCAACTAAAAATATCAGGGACTGGCGTTTTGAAAATGTGTATTTTGTCTCAAAGGATTCTCAAGACAGAGGTGGGACAGGCAGGCATCTGGTGGTTAACAGAAAACATCCAGCAAGGTCTTGTGGGATTAGTCCATGCAATTTACTGTAAAGAATTAGATAAATATATATCTAAAAAAAAAAAAAAACGCTGTTCAATTTAAGGTAAGAAATGCTATAAATTAAATTTAAAAGAGTGTAGTTGCTTCGCTTAAGATCTTTGCCAGACTTGAGAATAAGAAAATGAATACATTAGAGCTACTGTTCCTGTTGTGCCCTGCCTGGAGCTGACTTTGCTGTACTGGGTGACGACAAAGGTTCTCACCCATTTCTGCTCCAAGGTTTTGCATACCAGAGAATTTTGTCTCCGAGAAGTCTGTCACCTTTCTCTTTGCTCTGCTTTGCATGACGTGAAGTTGTCCACATGAGCAGAATGGTTTGCCTTCACTATCAGAACTCTTTTTTCCAGGATAGGAAAAAAGCAGTTGTTGCAGCAGATATATTTCTGTACCAGAAGCCTTGGAAAAACAAAGGACTCATTCACATGCAGAAGCCTCCAGCCTTGAAAAATGAGGAAATCAACAGAACTCAGCATCCGTCCGACCTCCCAGCAGAATTATTTCTCCCAGTGTCCACTGTGTTTTACATGATGCTCCTGAATGTCTTTAAAGAAGCTATTGAAATGCTACTATTTCTGAAATTCCTTTTATTTTCTAGCTGGACAATCTCTATAGGAGGGTTTTGATAAAAAGCAAAATGTAATCATAGTGATTAATTTAAATAAACTCCAAACAACACAGACTCTTGTATGGGTTTCACAGAGCCTTGGCATAAATGAATGCTAATGCAGTCACATGCATTTCTCTCCCCACCTTGTTCACCTCAGTTTTGTTATTTTGGATAATATACCTCTCAAGGAACGATCGTAGCGCAGGTGCTGAAAGGACAGACTCCAGAAATTCAAAATGAGGAGACTTTGGAAGTGATCAAAAAAGGAAAAGAGGTGAGACAGCTCCCTCCATTCACAGCACCGACGTACCGGGAAGTGTGTGTGCAGATAGCCCTCGGCACACCTACACCTAGCAAACATATGCACAGTCACTGGTGCCACCCACACGAAAATGACACTGATAGACTCGGTTAGGAAGGCGTACGTGTGCTCTACGTGCACACACACACTCGCAGGATCGCCCAGGCAGGAGCGGGCGGCACAATTCAAGGGTGTTTGCCGGCACGTGGGGCTGTTGCAGAGGGGCAGGAGTGTCTCTGCGGCCTGTTACACTCCCATTGGGTTTTCTAAAGCAGGTTTCAGCCCACACATGGATTTTGGACCTGCGACCAAGCCCTTAGCCCTTCATTCATCCTTATTCAGAAAATTCCTACTGAAGTAGAGTAATAGAATCATTATGGTTGGAAGAGACCGCAAAGATCATCAAGTCCAATCGTATACCTGACGCCACCATGCCCGCTAAACCCACTGAACCATGTCTCAAAGCGCCACTTCTAAACATTTTTTGAACACCTAAGTAGAAATGGGGACTTCAGGCTCTTTATGGTCATTTCCCCATATGTCTGTAAGGTTTATTTTAGCATCAGGCACTTGCTTCAATCTTTTAAACCCGGAAGGTATTATTTACACCGCTGAAAAAGAGCATTTACAAACTGTAGTCACCAAATAATTTTTGGTAGAATCTCCTTTACAAAAATAGCCTCGGCAATGTTTGGTATCAGGTGGAAAAAAATCTCCCCCCATCAATGAGTCAGGCCTGAGGTGTCTATGGCCCCTCTCTCCTTCACATGGCAGCTAGAGTTGTCCAAATGAAAAGCTTTGACATCCCAGAAGCAACTCAGAGAAGTTAAAGGAAACATGAGCTTCATCCTTTTCCAGTTGTGCTAAAATGCGAGTATGTGGGACAGGGACAACACCCTAGATGGGGATAGCTCCCAGCAGGTCCTGACTGATGCCAAACATCTGGGGGCTGATGTTTTAAGGTCACCAGATAGTGTTTCTTAATTTACTGACTGCAGATGGGGGAAGCCTGGTGTGAACTGAAACTGG